CCTGACATTGTGGTTTCACTTTTGTGGAAATGACTTTAAAGGAACAACCTTGGGAAGATGGGATGTGAAATTACTGTGGAACTTGACTCATGTTTGGGGCATGTCAGTGCCACTCTGCTCAATCCTATACCTTTTTTCTATTTACTCTGCTCTTCGCTCCCCTTTCACAGCACTCGAAAACAAAAAGTGTCGTTGGCATGCAGGAGGACTGCTTCCACTCGGCAGCAATCAAGCCATTACGAATGGAGAGGGAATGGAAGGCCTTTTGTTTTGTTTTGTTTTTTCGTTGTGATATAGAATTCTTGGCATTAGGTTGCACATCAGGCCAGACCATAATTGCCTTCTCTTCACTGGGGAGCACCTTGTTTTCCATTTGAAGTCTGCCTCTGTCAGATTTCACCATTAGAGGGAGGGGGTGTAGCAGGGGAAAGGAAGACAATTTCTGGATCAGTCAACTCATATGGGCTGCCAGAGAAGCATGGAGAACATTGACGATGAATCCAGCAATAGCTTGCCAAGGTTTGCCTGGAACAAAAATGGAATATTGGTAGCAAAACGTGTATAAAGACTACGTCCTATTTTCTCACTATACTGTATCTAGTTTTGAAATGATTATTAGACAATCAATTATTTATTAATCAAATGTGGGATTTTGATCAATGTCTTTTGGTTTTGGTCAGGCAAAACAAGCAGTCTGAAGATACTACTTGGGATGTGGACACTTGCTGCTAATACCTCACATTTGAACAACTAAATGATTCAACAAAAAATTATATATTGTTTATATGCGTTACTGCTTTTGGCGGTGACTAGTAACTAAAAACAATTAACGCAAGTACAGTTACTGAAATTTAAATAGGCTTGTTACATACACGTCATGTCTTGTCCCACCAAAATAATATAGCTGTATGCAATAATAAGATAATTGAAGCAGACAGATTTAAGAGTAACACAAAAGTTACTTAGTAACTAATGACCTTTATATGCAGTAACTGGTAAAGTAATTAGGCTATTTTAAGTAACTGTAACTAATTACTATTTTTTAGTAACTTGGCCAAGACTGTTAGCAGCAGCCTTAAATATTATTATGCTCTTTTATTTGCAGGATGGTGTGTGATGTATCAAATGACTATTCAACCTCCTAAGAATATAATATAATCCAAGTCTTGAATTCTATGCTCCTAACTGTGCAAGGCACACATAATATTTTCATTTTCAACCAGCTCTCATTCCATTGTTTCTCGTTTTCACTCCCTTGTGTACTCATCTTTCAGCCTCAGCTTGCTGTGACGTCAAGGATTGATGGGCAGACGATTTCTAGCTGAGAGTCATTTCCAAACCCCAAGGCTCTAGTCATGGTGTGATATAACCAGGTGATAGTTTCCTTAGAGGATTTTTGGAGGCTTTCTGGGTGTATTTCCTATCTTATCTCTTGCAGGAGCAACTATTGTAACAACCTCAAGGAATTGTGGCTCCTATCAGGGTGTGATTGTTTGTTATAGCCAAAATGGTAAAACAAATAGCAGATTATATTGAATTAAAACATTGCAAGGCTTGGGACTTATTGATCAAATTGAACATTTAGCCACAAGAAGGAAAATCTTATTGAATTTGTGAGGTCCTTACGGCAACTACACTCGGCTTTTGTCACAGTTTTGTTGCCACCGAGCTCCCTTTATGTCAATCTAATGGGATTTAACCTCTTACTGAGAGCATGGTTTTCAAAAGGAGTTTGGGAAAGACAGTTGATACGAGTTAAGTGCACAGCGCGGTGGGTAAAAGCGAGCAGAGAGGCAGTGTTGTGGTTTATTTGGTTCAGTTCACACACACAGTGTATAATGGACATTTAACAGCCTCCGCCTGCTGGAAGTGTGCTGTGTCCTGAAATGGTGCTGGGGACATCTGAGTGTGTGACTGCCAGGATGACACACCCATTAAAACACACTTAGTCCATTTCACTGCTGCAGTTCCCTTCTGGATCCATGCCACAAGAATGATAACAACAACATACACATGCCTCATTCTTGTTAATTGACACTTGCAGTGAATTCACATCATCTATATAAAACATACCCTAGCATATTCCAAGAATATACGGTAGGCTGGAAATAGGGACGCTGATGTTTTAGGTGCTCCACCGTGCATCTCACTCACACATAAATCTGGGGTAGGACAAGTGAACATGTTTCCCAGCTGCGCCTTTGGCAGTACGAGCATCTCATCCTCCTGCTCTGAGCCCACACTGAATTATTGAAATGAGAGAGGCGCCTCGCTTTGTCTTGTATCATCAGGATAGGCACCCAAAACTCCAATTTCAGAGATCAACTCCCCTCCAACACGAAGCAGAAAAAGTTGTTTAATTGTAGCTCTCTCACTGTATCACGCAAAGAATACCATTTAGTTTTATTTTAGGTCAGATGTCTCAACACAGCTCATGTTTGTGCAAGAAGAATGAGCCGCTGCTGAATTCCCATGAAAGAAGACGAGGCAGGCACTGAGAAACAAGAGTTACCCGAGCCGTGGTGTCAGAAGGACCCATCTACTTTCATGCCATTAGCTGAGATTTCTCCAAAGTGGCCCTCTTGATTCTTCTCATCATTATGCTGTGCCCAGCTTTCTACAGCAGAACTCTGCAATTTACTGGAGACACGCCACACATGTAATGGAGACAAAGCAACATATTCTGCTTTAAAGGTAGTGCTACAGACTTAGGGGAAGTTGATTTGTATGTCATGCATGTATATGCTATGCAGGGCGTCCCTGACGTGGTAACACAATAGCTTACAAATAGTGTATGAAAGATAAGTTGCAGACACTACAGCAAATGTTGATTTAGCTGGTATCATTACATCAGATTCTCATGTTTTATGTGGGGAATATAGTCACAGGTTAGTCTTAACAGGTTCGGTTAATTCCTTAAATACCAGTTCTTTGAAATCATAATTTACGTAGTCAGTATAAAATTGCAGCCATTAACCAGTTCACAACTAAGGCAGATTTTTTTTTTTTTACTGTAGCTAGTTATGCTTATTTGGCTTGTTATATTGTGTAGGCAAAAAAGACACAGCTCGAAATATTGTAATTACTGATAATTGCCTGCCACATTAAACTACACTGAGTTGAAAATTGCACAGAACAGGCTGCAGTAGATGGATGTGTTAAATTCAGTTTTCAAGTGTGCACAAAGAGGTATTGACTAGCTGAATCCCAGGTGAGGCTGACTCCTGGTGCGAGTGATCGATGTGTGTATGGCCATTGAACTGAGCTTAGAGGTAGTTTGTATTCTATTAGGCATCTCTTGGGATTTGCAGGAGTGGAACAAAAGCGAATGCTGATGCCTAATTGCTGGCAAAGAAAAGACCAACACCATACATCTGTAGGCTGTTACTTCTTCTGCTGCTGCTGTTTGGGCTTTTTCTCCCTCAGTCAGTCTCAGTTGTACAGTGGCTATGAGAAGTTGCCAATCTTTTTGAGACTGAGCTCAGCTTCTGACAGCCAGTAGGAAGCAACACATTATTAACACTGTAACATCGTAATGTAACACAACATACAGGAACCGCATCATCTTTGTGAGTTTGTGTTTCGACTCAGTGTCTTTGTGTTCTAGACTGCAGTCTGTTGTTTTGTCCCCTCATATACATTACACCACCTACAGCAAGGTACTGTATATATATTGTACCAATACATTCTTACAACATCATATCAGCTTGTCAGACTCAAAAATGTCTTATTATAAGCTTTTTGAAGGTAACATTTCTTTGAGATATTAAAATAGATTGCATTAGATTGTACAGGTGTACAATAGACAGATACTTTGTGTTCATCCTATGCTCCCATTTCTACACAACCTACCCCTCACAACCACCACACTGCTCCTGTTCCTTTGTTATTTATAGTAGCTTTTAATTGATCAAGGCATTGAATGGTTGTAAACAAGAAAGCTCCAACAAAACATCTTGTGAGATCTAATCTGGCCTTCATGTCCGCCATCTCTCTATCCTTTGCAGCGCTAATACAGCTAAAGTCTTCTTGTATTGTTGAAAATATAACCAACAACAATATATAAAGGATCTGAAAACTGGTTTGTGAGCATAACGGCAGGTCACCAGTTTAAATCAGAAGCATTTATCCCCTTTATCAGCCTCTGTCTGCAACCAGAAGGAAAGTATTGCTAGAACCGTTTTTCTGCTGCACCAGTCTTTGTTTACCTTTTTTCACTGAATTGGTAAAATGATTGACAGAGCATTTACTGACTTTAATCGTGCTATTTGACTGATAATTTAAGTTCTTTATCAAGCAAAATGCCATACCTGGCTCCAGCTTCTCAAATGTGAGGATTTCCTGCCATGCCCCATTGTGTCTCTTTTTCTTCTCATCTTTTGCTTTTTATCTCTTTAATCTTTTTCTTCTATGGACCACAAATCTGAAATAAAGTGAACTGAATTGAAAATTGAATTGACTTTTCCCTTTAGTGATGGTGGCCTATAATCTACAAATAGAAAAAGTTACATTTTCACAACAAAGAGGAGTAGGCTAGCTGATAAGAGCAAACAGAAGAATCTTTTTTTTACCCTTGCAGCATGAGAATATATTGAAATGCTGGCCATCAACCATAGCACCACCACCCATCCATGCACAGCTAAAAATACCAGGGTGTGGGGGATGTGGATGCTTTTTTAGTGTGTGTTTTCATTTTTATTGGTGAAGAAACATACTTGATTCAGATATCCTTTATGTCCTGCAGTGCTTTTCTGTCATGTGATTTGGTCCAGACTCTTTCCCTGAAAAGGATTTTTTTTAAATCCACACATTACACATCATTGGAAGTGTGTTGAAGAATAATTATGATGCTAATGGAAGATAATCACGTCATACATGGCCGTATGGTCCTAAAATTACTTTCCCCCAAAATCTGTTGACGATAAAAAGGCTAATTATTCACATTCAAAGCAAGCCGGTCTAATGTGTCATTTCTCATGTTGCTCTCATGCAGATACCAGTGACAGCACATACAGCATGAGGCTGGTGTGGAAATCCCTGGACAAGATGAGGTGTCTGAGGAAACGCTCCACTATTCCCTTCCTCGGCTTCCTCATCACCTTCCTCCTCTTCCTGAACCTCTATATTGAAGATGGCTACGTGGTGGTTCGTAAATTTGTATTGTTTTTTAACAAGCATTTGCAAATTTAGATTAAGTACTGGCTTAGTATTTGTATTCCTTCTTAATGTCTGAACAACAAATTTGACCAAATATGCTTTTGAAACCAGATGTACTCTTGTATTTATCTACTCCACCCATGTTGTCCCTTTTATAATTGCTTGTTTTTAAAGGAACCATGTTTAAATTTTCATAACATGGACCCAAGTTGAAATCATCCAGATGATTTATTTCTTATTCATGATGCCTTCAAAAGTTGGTGATCACAGTACATTATCTGTGTTTGTTTTTTGAATTATTAAGAAGTAGTTCACATTTTCAGCTCTCTAGTGCTTTCTTAAGTCCATTTGCTCAGCTATGCAAACTGCCTGGAGAGGTTTTAAGATTGCTTTTGTCTCCAAACGTCGAGGGTTAGCTCAGCCACATCAAAACACATATTGTCTCAAGTTTGTACAGGATGTTAAAGACAAGTTTAAGAAAACAAAAGTCTGGTTTCCCCCTAATTTGAATTATTCACAGTAGAAATTTAAAATTTCCTGATGACTTTCCTGTCCTTTCCTGCAGTAGTGGTGACAGCTTGTACGTGTTTTTTCTCTATTGTTCATAATGTAAAGTAAATTTATGTTTTTCATGTTGCATTCCAGGAAGGGGATAAAAGACAGCTTAGGGTAACATCAGTCCACCCTCCGAGCTCAGAACGATACGTTCACACCTTCAGAGACCTCAGTAATTTCTCTGGAACCATTAATGTCACGTATCGTTATCTCGCTGGAACCCCGCTGAACCGCAAAAGTAAGTTGATTGTTTGTTTAAAGAGGATATTTCATTGACTAGATTCATGGGCATTGGGTAGTTACAGTAAGTAATAGTTGTGAAAATTAGGTGAGAATAAAAAGTAAAACTTTAAATGTCTGACTGGGGATTTAGAGCACAACAATAAAATGAAACTGCTCCACAGAGACCTCAATATTAAACACTACACACGACTCTTCTCACATAAAGGCTGTCAAGATTAAGTTTTTGACTTTTACCTACAATGAGCACAAAAATAGAACTCCATCACTGCTAATAACAGTGTGATAAATGTTTCATCATAAATATTAATGATGGAAAAAATGTATTACCAATACATTTTGTGGTTCTCTGATTTGTAAAATAATACAGTTTTGACAAAGTAATCCTAAATCAAGATCCACTTACAAGCTTTTTCTAGAAATTACAACTGCATCTAACAGTCTTCATTAGTGGGTGTACTTCACTCAGTTATCATGTGACCAAAGCATGGTAGGGGTTGTGTATGTTGGAAAGATAAACTGATTAAGATTAAGGGATGCATTTGAAAGTGCCCAAGATTATCAGTTTTGAGTTTGAAATTGTTTGAATCCATTAATACATGTCTATATACTTAAAGTTGGTCATTTTCAAGAATTTCTCTTTACATTATTATAATATGAAATAATTATTTTTGTTCACAGAGTATCTCACCATTGGACTGTCATCAGTCAAAAGAAAAAGAGGAAACTACCTTCTGGAGACCATCAAATCCATCTTTGATCAGTCCAGTTACGAGGAACTGAAAGAGATTGTGGTTGTGGTCCACCTGGCAGACTTTGACCTGGTCTGGTGTGAGAACCTGGTGCAGGAAATCACCAGGAAGTTTGCTCACCACATCATAGCGGGACGCCTCCTGGTGATCCAGGCCCCAGAGGAGTACTATCCATCTTTGGACGGCTTGAAAAGGAACTACAACGACCCAGAGGACCGGGTCCGTTTCCGCTCTAAGCAGAACGTGGACTACGCTTTCCTCCTCAACTTCTGCACAAACCTCTCTCATTTCTACATGATGTTAGAGGACGACGTGCGCTGCTCCAGGAACTTTCTGACGGCGCTAAAGAAGGTGATCACCTCCAGAGATGGTTCCTACTGGGTGATGCTGGAGTTTTCCAAGCTGGGCTACATCGGGAAGCTTTACCACTCCAAAGACCTGCCACGTCTGGCTCATTTCCTCCTCATGTTCTACCAGGAAATGCCCTGCGACTGGCTCCTCATCCACTTCAGGGGTCTGCTCGCTCAGAAGGACGTGATCCGCTTCAAGCCCTCTCTGTTCCAGCACATGGGCTATTATTCTTCTTACAAAGGAGCAGAGAACAAACTGAAGGATGACGACTTTGAGGAAGACTCCATAGACATTCCCGACAACCCTCCTGCCAGCCTTTACACAAACATCAATGTCTTTGAGAACTATGATGCCACGAAGGC